AATCAAGCTTGTTGAAGTGGACCTCATTTGAAATGAAAAGGAGTAAGCTAACAAGGACATTGCAGGTTCAATTGCTTTGAGTATGCACAGTAATTTATTCTGTACACTTCCCTGAAGAGAAAGATCAATATGCACAAAATGCTTAAATGACGATGAGCTTGGTATAACCCGATAATTATTCCTGGAGAATTTCTGCAAACCGATGTCAATTGACATGTCTAATTATTGGTAATCAGGGAGATATTGATGCATGATTTCAGTTCCATAATGAATATCACTAATTGTTCGTTGCTTCACTTGTTTGAATTCCGTCTTCTCCATTTCGGTCAAGTGGGCACCCATCTTCTACATCCATAAATTACTCAAGACCATAGTGTGATTGACAACAAAAAGTGTATTTGATGGGAGGTTCAAGATGATATGATTGTTCATCAGTAACATATGATCGTCGATGAACAGTATTTGTTTGAAGTGAACACAACACGTGCTACTCTCGCACTCGTGAAACCGTTCACACTGAGGACTGTACTTCGGCGATTCAGTCACGATTATGTATTTGAATATTACTCAAAATCAGCAAATATATTTCAGTTCTTCTAATCTACTTAGCGTTTCTGTAAAAGAAATATTTTTCTAAATTTAACATTAGTGTAAATAAAAGTGCACATTATCTGAACGCGTGATATGCCGATCTCTGTGTGTTGACCTCATTTGTTGTTTGTAGAAATGTCAATGATCAAACATTTTGTTGTTTATCATCATATTTCATCTGAATAATTAGGTTATCTGATGTTTTCTATTGTGTAGTTAGCGTGATATTTACTTTGAGTATAGAAAGGAATGTAGCTTTCTAATGATGCACCCATATGACTGACAATCAACGATTAACACACAGCAGAAAATTGAAAGTTATTCTCATTTTGCAATTACAGATTAGTTCCTAACGAGATATTGAGTTGACAAAAAATAGTTTATCATCCTCTCAGAGAATATTTGGCACCAGCCATCAATAATCACAAAAAATGTTTACCATCTTATTTGATATAGTCTTAGTGATTGTAATCTTACAGAATTCTCGAGTTTGTGTATCTGTGGAACTCTCATTTACATGTACATTCGACTGGTTGATACTCCTCACGGTTATCAGATATCAGATTGTGATCAATCTTCATTAAGATGGGGTGTGATAATGAATAGCCTATATGTAGAACAATGAACCAAAGTAACTTAACGGATAGTATCAAAACAAATTCACCGCTCTATTTTATTTTCGAAATGTCGGATAGTATTATTGATTACCTATGATAGTTTCTTATGAACGATAAATCGTCTTCGTTGTTGTGAATGACATATTGCCTAGAAGTAATGACGGAGACATTAAGAAGGGGACTGCAAATGTCTTCATATGAGTGGCATTATCCTGTGCAAATCCACCACACTACTCTCTACTCCTTGATAGTTTCAAGTGTTTTCAAATGTTTACAAGACATTATTGTCTGCTATGCCTACACTCGTCTTAGAAGTTCAGGCTTTTATCCTTTGAAATGGTTTAAGTAAAAGAAATTGTGGAAAGACTAAGTAGAGTTCAAGTAGCAGATGAACATGTGTCAAAATTGGATGAGATGAGACTTACACGATAGTCAAACTCTTACCAATGTCACAATTGATTGATCACTGGGTGGTGATCAATGTCATACGTGTCTAGTCCTTATTAGTGCAGATCGAATGCTATCGATCATGTTGCAATGTGGTCACCAGTCTAGGTGACTCGACACTGCGGGCACTATATATTGAGATTTAGTTGGTGGTTGGAGGTAGTCAACAGGAAACCCTGGACCCGGGTTTCGTGCTACTTGGCACTCGTCAGCAAGGTGTACCTGTAATGTTGAGGGAACTGGTGCTCCCTGGCGGATTCGATCTCGTGTCACCCAGCTTCACAGCCAGAGACGTTACCACTGAGCTATCCGAGCCGCGGTCCACCTCCTGTTGGAGTGAGATATAATCACGATTGATCGATCATTGAGTGGTGATCATTGTCATGTGTGTCAAGACATTCAGAGTGTGGAGAAGATTTGTAGCTCAGGTGGATGATTTTGGTGGTGTTTTGTTCTCTGAGCTGGATGGTTTGGTCGTGGGGATGTTTGGTTTGTGTATTTTGGGTCTACCGTAGAATTGAGCGAGCACTGGTCCACTGGATTTCATTCTCCATTGGTCTTGTTTTGTTATTTCTCCTGCTTTGACTAGCTTGTTTCAAGTCTTTGAGATTTGATTGTCTAATTTTTCGACCGGATTTGTGTCCATCAGTTTGTATGTGCTCTTATCTTGAGTTTTTGCCTTTTTTGTATTTTTCTTTGTCCATGATTACTGTGGTGCGTCCCTTGTCCGCTGGTATTATGATAATATCTTTTCTATTTCTGAGTACTTTCAATGCCTTTTGTTCTTGTGGAGTCAGTTGGTTGTTTTCTTCCTGTTGAGTTATGGGTATATTTGCCTTATTTCCTGTTGTGTTTCTTCACTGATTCCGGAAGTTTTGAGTGATGACTCTAGTGCTGCGAAGAACTGTAGCTTTGAGGCGTCGCTTGTATTGTAGTTTAATCTTTTTTGGAGCAGGTGTTCTTCCGTATTTGTTAGTGGTTGTTTTGACAGATTGATCACGCAGTTGTTTGTGTTTTCTTCCATGAGTGGTTTTGAGATCTTGATTAGTTTTTTCTTGAAGGTGTTTCTCCTTTGTTCTCTATGTCGTTTGCATGATATCTCGATGGCTGTTGTCACGATTTCCAAATGTTCTGATGTGAGCATCCTTTGTAGCTTTATCTTTTGGTCTTCTATGACATGTTGGTATTTGCAGATCCTGTAGTGTGTATCCGTTATCATTAGGTGTACCATTTTTCTTCCACTTTGCTCGGCAATTCTCCATCCTAATGGGCAGTTGATTGGAGGTCTATATCTGACACTTGTTGGTAGAACATGCTGGCGAAGACACTCATGGAGAAAATATAGTTGTTCTCGAGTGGAAGCCTGCCTTTTGGCGAAATTCTCCCATTTTCGAACAACGAGAAGCGTATACGCTCATATGATTTTGAGATGGTGGAGAAGATTTGTAGCTCAGGTGGATGATTTTGGTTATGTTTTGTTCTCTGAGCTGGATGGTTTGGTCGTGGGGATGTTTGGTTTGTGTATTTTGGGTCTACCGTAGAATTGAGCGAGCACTGGTCCACTGGATTTCATTCTCCATTGGTCTTGTTTTGTTATTTCTTCGCGAATTTCATAAGTAGGACAACATGGATGGAAATGGTTTCGTTTGTTGATGTTTAGAAATTCTGTGATTTTCAATTGACATTGATCAATCAGTGGTTGAGCTGACTTGATTTATGCCTAATACTATGTGGATAGTGGATGCAGTACCAACAAGTTATATTCCACTGATCCTGTATATCTGTTTGTTTGTTTGTTTTTGATTGATTGATTGACACACACGACAGTGTTCTCACATTTTCTTTCCCTCTTCTCTCCTCCACATTCTCATGTCGATCGTTAGCGTCGTTAGAGTCGCACTCACGCACACGTTTCTCCACTCTCCCACCTCCTTAACATCAATGCACTCGGAAACTAGACGAATAGCGATTCACAGAATTTACAAATTGTGTATGTGTATGCGCATGTGAAGATTTTGGGTGTATTCAGTGATTATTTTGGGAAACATGCCAACCTCAGTAAAGATTGTGAATGAATAATGGTGTTGTGTGTGCGTATGATGGAGTTAGTGAGTGACTGGTTGAGTGGGTTGGTGGTTGAGCGTATTTTTGCGAATTGTTGTCTCGTTGTGAGACTCCTGAAATCCTTCGGGTTAGGTGTGGCACACAAACCAACAAAATCACTACAATCAATCCTATGCAATTCAAAGAATGATATAACAAAGGTAAACAAATCAAACCTCATCTACAATATAAATTTTACCACGTGCGAAAAGCACTACATCGGACAAAGTGGACGCCCCCTCCACCTACGCCAACATGAACATCAATTAGCAGTCACACGACATGATATCTCTTCACTTATAGCAATACACGAGAACAACTACGGACACTCATTCAATTGGGACAATGTAGAAATCTTAGATAGAGGAAACTCCAAAAACACCAGATAATTTTTAGAAGCCTGGTACTCAAGTCAATCAGCAATCAACAAACATATTGAAATCAATCCAATTTACCAAGCAATCAGGAAAATCATGCATAAATATAGGAACAGAAATCAAACCAATGGGAGACACAACCAAAACAAAGAAGTAAACAATGATAAATTTATGGTCAACAAGAACCGATCAACATCGAGGTGCACAGTACAAGCTAAGAAACACAAATGGAGAAATTTGAACACTTCACTTCTATCTGAAGTTTGTGCTGATGATGTCGTTTAGAAGAACGATGAAAGCTCTACAACCAGACCGTCCAGCTCAGAGAACAAAACTCCACCAAATTTGCTGACAATGGCGTAGTTGTATGTATTCTTTGTCTTCTTTTAAACTAAGAGATTAAAATCGCTTTATATCTTTCTTCCAACGAAGTAATACTTTCTTCCTGTATTATATCCTGATATGCAATCTTTCTTTTATGTATTACCACGACTTTCTAAACCACCCCTATGAATTCGGTGTCTATCTTGCGGTGCTAATGCGGTATGGCATCTTGGACCGATTCATAAATATGCCTGATCCTACGTTTTGACTGACTAACTGACTGACTGACTATGCAGTGATCATTTTCATTTCAGATCAAGACAATGAATGATAAAAGAGATGTTATTTAGTTAAAATACGATAATAATAATTGTAATCATAAATTTCATAGAACACAAATATACAAAATTATATATCTATATATAAGTAGTTTATAAATAGTATAAATTCATAGGAATGATAATACTGTTTATATCGTTTTCTCTCTTTTTTCTTTCTTTCCTTTTTTGTTTGTTTGATTTATTAAATCACTTTTAAAAAATTAATGAACAAGTAAATTGTTACTTTTAGGTAATTTTAAAAACTCTTTTGCTACTACTGATAAAGAATCTGTAAGTAGTACTGGTGATTCATGCGAAGAAGATTGTGTTGAACTATGATTGATTGTCATCCATGTTGACGTCGATGATGATGTTGATGATGGATAGGAAGGTAAAGAATGATTGACCAAACTAAATATAAATTTATAACAACCAAATTGTATCATTGAACCATGTCTTGAAATAGCCGACCAGTGATTAAATTGAATGATGAATCTGTTTTATCTACTAGAAATTTATCATTTGGAGTAAAATGTAAACTTGTACAATCACATATAGATGTCATATGTGATAAATCCTGGTAAAGTATATAAAAGAAAAAGAAAAAGATAATAGGTATAAATGAGGATGATAATAATGATTGAGAATGAGAAGAGTCAGTTCTCCTTCTTGAAGTGATCTGACAGGGGAATCCTACTTTCACTATATTGTCGTCAAGGGGTAGTTGTTTATGAAATAAATAGGATGAAAAGTGAAAGTTCGACGCTTTTAATGAGTTTGTGAGTATGTAGAATCCACTTGTGGCAGTTGAAGAAACCCTCTCTTCAAACTGATGGTGCACATGGGCTCCAGTATGCTGAGGAAACAAATAACACATTGAGTCGGAAACTGGAGACAAACATGAAAAAGGGTGAATAGCAACTGGGAAAAAAGTGAAAAGGATTGCCAAGGAGAGATATGAATGGAGAATGGTGGTGGACGGCCTATGCTACCCGACGAGGGGTAACTGGTGTAAGTAAATAAGTAGGTTCCCTCTTCGCTTGTTTATAAACTCTGTAATTTGTAATCATGTGTCACAACTAGTCATTATTTTATTATTGTAGTAAGCCTTTTTAATTTCAGACACACAGATGCGCTATGAGCTATAGATGCCTCATAAGTTGAGGTTTGTTAGTAATGAATGTCTATTCATCAATAAAGAAATGTTTTTAGACAAATTGCTGTATTATGGACTTTGGTTTCGCGTGCACCTTAGTTCTATAATCAGACATATCAGTATTCAAAAAATAGGAATTAATGGATAGTTGTTTCTTCTTAAAAAGAGATTACACTCATAACTCCACCAGGAATGACAACCAGGAGCTTCAATCCTATTGACTAACGTTTAATCATTTGAACAATTGGTTGTGGGTCCATTAAAATTATGTTCAGTTCAGGAAAGAAAGCAACAATCATCTGCTGTCATTCAATGAATACTTGTTGTTAAGTTTGTCATACATTGTTCCTACTCGCTCCCTTTACACATCTTGGCATATTGTGTTTTATACTACTTATTGGCATTCAGTAAGCAGTTGTATTCCCAACAATCTTGACACTTATGTTGTAACGCAAGTTGTAGTGTAATATACTGAAATGTTCACATATACTTATAACGTTTATTGTACCTATCATCGTATTTATCATTATAATTACTGTGCCTTAATCACTGTACAGGTTGTCCGCAGTTTTGTGCATTTGTTTAAACGCACCATGTTCCATAATGTTTTGCTCCTGATTCGAGTTTCCATTGTTCAGAAACTGTTATCAAATTTAAAGACAGCTATCAACTGTCCTTTGTACTATCGTATGTTGTAATTATTCTTTATGTTACTGTCACAGGAAGCCTTTTTATTTTCATACTTGAAGGACACGTTTGAACATCCCAGACACTTCACAATTTGAGGTTTGTAACTTAATTTTGTGTATTATTCAATAAAAAATCGCTATTGTAGACAAATCGTTATTTTGGAAACTTTGATTTTGCGCGTATCTCAATCGGATAACTTGGACGCTTCGAAAGATCTAACATTGAGGAAGTTTGATTCGTTCCATTAAAAGTGGAATAATTATTGGTTACATCGTGATATAACAATGAGAATCGTCATACATTTACTTTTCTAATCATAGATACTAATAGGATAGTAATTCAAGTTCACAACATATATGGTTTGTCAGTAGGTAACTGCATGATGTACATTATGTAATAATTGGTAGTAACGATGAATGAGCTTAATAGTCTGAATGAGGAAGTAGTAGTATATCTTCCATTCTCGTCCTCTTATTTTCGATCATCTCAATTTTCTGTCTCCAAACATTCCACTTTCGATTAGTGATACATACTACTTATAACTGTCGAGATTGAGTAGGACACATCACACTAAAACTACCGACCTCCTACTCGAGATGAGAAACCAGCTGACTGAGATACAGATGAAGATAGTACTGTGTTTTATACAATTCATTAAGAAATTCTTCGCTATGATCAGTGTTTAAAATGATGAGTCATGTTTCATCATATTAAAAAGTCGCTACATGGATGATCGTATTAATTTTGGAATCCAGTATTTCGACAGCTTAAAACCTTTTTGTGTAAACGCATGTGATAAGGCATATTGTTCAACCCAAACCAATGTACACACTGTAGGGAAGTCCGAATCAGAATGAATCGTTCTATCCTTTATTCCATTGCCATTACTAAATGAGGTCAGTTTGTAGATGATAACGGTATCAATACATCTGGATTGATAAACTTCAGTCATTAATATCAAAGATGACAGTAAAAGCCCTCACAATCAGTAGAATGAAACAGTTATTAGATCTTGATAGTTGAATTCATGAGTCAATGAGGGCTAGAGCATCATCGACAACCTGGAAGAACTAGACAGTCAAGTCCTCCTCAGCATTGTGCATCCACGATCCCTTTTACAGGATTCGAAAACAGAGTCCTATACTCCTTTATGAGTGGTAAGATTGAGAAAGCACAAGCCAACTTCCATCTGGAGAGGAAATTAGGAAACGATGTTGGAAGTGGATAAAACACACATTGAAGTAATCACCAAACTGCATCACGAAGCAAATCACTAACTTGAGATCTTGGAGGGAAACGGAAAACAGGAAAGTCAAAGAACACATTACATCAGAAAATGGAAACAGATATGAAAAGGATGAGTAGAAATTGGAATGAACTGGAAGCGATTATCCAGGACAGATTTGGATAGAGAATGCTGATGGCCAGCCTATGCTCCTCCATAAGGAGTAACAGGCGTACACAAGCTTCTTTCAAGTATATATTTCTCTCTGTTTATATAAAACGCCATATTTATTTATTATTATTATCCAATCAAATAATTTTATTTAAATTAGAAACTAAAAATTAAAATATAAAAATCAACATTTTAACCAATCAGAAGTTGATAAATTAAGAAATAACATTTAAAACATACCTGGAAACAATAGTTAAACTGATGAATTCCTTTAGGCATGTATCTATGCGTGTATGTATGTTTGTTTGTACGCATGTGTGTGTATCTATGTATGTATATTTGAGTGTAGGTAGGTAGGTATCTATGTAAGTATGTGACGATTACATAACTTTGTCCCGTTTTCTAATATTTGAACTCACTATTATCATCATCATATTCATTTAACTCTTATTTATTCGAAATATTCCCATATTGTAAATTTAGAATAACATAGATATATAAGCGAACAATATTGTTCTCGATTTGATCCTCATCAGGCTTTACTTCTAATATACAGTGATGTATTTATATGCATATACCAAATTATTAAACCAATCAAGGTAGTTTATAAGTCGATGATAACAATGGAATAGATTACATAATAAGTAGAATGTGAAAAGTACAACTTGATGGTGTAACAAGAAATGCATTAGTTTTTGATAAGCAATAATAATAATGGCTCAAATCAATGTTACATAATCTGAAATGGGTCAATGATTAGAAAAATATAGACAGTGAGATAACAATTATGAAGATTATAAGATGACGTAATCAGAAACGGTCAGATAATTGGACCATGAAACGTATAGTTGAGAGAAAATAAAGTGGTAGGAGGGTGTGATGAAAAATAATAAACGAAGAGAAAGTTAGAAAAAAAAATTCATTTATTACTTAAGGCCAGGGGAGAGATAAGGGTGTTACAAATTTCTTCTGAACACAAAGACTTGGCTTGTAGGCTCGGATTCCTATAGCTTCTGCTATGTGTAAGAGACGAGATCGAACACCATAAGGAAAGTAGTGGGAATCCGATAAATAACTTTGAACGACTTGTTTCTGTCCACTATATGACCGCTATCGATCAAGTGTGATAGAACCGAGCTGCATGTTGTTTTGACGTAACCTTTTCCTAACCACGAAGGGAGGTGTTCACTAACTCGTTGGTTGAGTTGCCTGGTAGTGCGCACAATATAGCTTTCTCCACAGGAGCAGCTGAATTCGTAGATACACGCAGAAGTGGAATAACCAGGTAATTTGTCCTTCAATTGCGGAACCACCATCGATCGGGTCGAATACGATAGGCAGAGAACGGCAGCACGTTTAATGCTGTCATAATTTGGATAAATTATCTTCGTATAACGTGTAGGTATTAATTTCCTTGTTGATGATGAAAATAAAGAAAAAAAAAGAAAAAAGTAGAAAAAAATAAATCAATATGATCAATGACGTTTTTCTGTTCAAATTCTTTTTTTTAATTTTTTAATAGACAGAGAAACGAAAGGTGGCGGTCATTTTAAAGAAATATCTAATAAAGAGAAACAAGAAGGTATTGCTTGTTTGAATGTTTCTATGGATGAGAGATTTAGTAGTTAAGTAGGTGAATGTTATTGTTTTGAGTCGTGAAGTGATAGATGAACACTGGAATCTAAATGTATCTAGTTGATGAGTCTTACATAGAACGAAACCTGTGTCTTGGTTTTCATTACTGGTCACTTACTATCTTTGTTCAGAATGCTTGTGAATTAGGGTGATATCGAGGCAATCCGCATAGGATGCACATATGTTAGGAAGAGATTGATATTTTGCAGTCATTAACAACAATGGGAAGATTGAAGTGAAATAATACCAACTGAATTTAAACTTACTCACATTGCACAAGCATGTGGCTTTGCGGACTCAGTACCTAAGTGGATAACACGAACGATACTAGATTCGTTTCCCATACTGAACACCAACTCTTAGATGCTGTTACATCCAAGTGACGAGTTCCGAATAGGATGAAACACGCGTCAAACTGTATTCCTCTACTAGCCACTATCCATCTTTGTTTAAATAAGTAATTAGCTTGGTAATAAGAATAAATTGTAATGACTTTGTCTTATTTGAGAAACGTTGGAAGTGTTCGGTTGAAAAGAAAGTAAAATAATACGAAGTGAATAATAGAAATG